ATAATTTTTGTACAGATTTTTTGATGGAAGCACCGAATTTTAGCAGGCTCATCTCAGACAAAAGTGCATCAAACGCCAGCAAGTCTCCGGATTTTGAAAGTTACAAAGGTGGATTATGGTTTGGCAACAATTTTACAAACCAAACGAGCATTCACCGCTTCGGTTTAGCAACTTTCGAAAATTCCGGGTACCTTGGGGTGCCCTGGAAAAGTTGAATTATGATGATTTTATCTCGGAAAACTTGATGAATTAGAAACAAAAAACAAGATGTAGAAAGAGGAGAAAAAGCTGCGTCGAATGACACCCGAGTTGCTTGCCGGTTGTTGTTCTGTGTGGTTTAAGTTACCAAATGTGCAATTTGATAGCATTGAAAAATTGATTCCAGAAACTCTAAGAAGCAGGCTAAGGAGAAGGAAATATTATCCTGTATCCTGTAGGGTTTGCTTTATCTAACTGTCACTTGCACATCTTCGGAGAATAGGTACAAAAATTTAGGAAAATAGCCGAACTTGACAATGGCAAAAAGCATGAGTCGTAGATTTTGGTAATTTTTCGAGAGCTCATATAACATTATGCAGCGAAATTAGAACCATCAGAAAGAGGATGAAGTGCTGCATCGATTGCTTCTAAGATCTCTTGAAAACGTTGATTTCACGAATAGTGGCGTTCATTCGAAAAAAACGACATTACTTTCGGAACGACCTAATAGATCAAATTGGGTGACTTCAACTACCTTAAAGTTGGCAAATTTTCTACAAAAAAGTTCATAACTGCCTTCAAATGATTGTTTCGCAGATTTCGAGCAAAGGTTTGGAATCAGCGTTTCGAGGTGCACCTTATGGCATACATCGCATTCCAAATGGCCAGGGTCGGCGAGTACCATTTCCTTATAAGGCATTATACTTGGGTCCGAATCGAATAGAACATTCGAATATAACATTCGAATATATTCGCATTCGAAATTCGATATTCGGGTTTCTTCCATTTTCGAATAATATTCAAAACTCGTATAATTGAGAAAACGGGGTTTCGATTAAAATTCGAAAACTCGATTAATCAAAAAACGGGGTTTCAGATAGATTTTAATCAAATGTTTTATCCGAATGTTTATTCGAATTCCTATTTGAATGAACTCCGTGTTCAGATTATTCGACCTTGTTGCAGAGCCAACTGCTGAATATCAAGCTCACTTCGTCTGCGTTTTTTTCCGCCAAACTCGGTAATGCATCTTTTTGCAACGATGACCTTCGAACTTTTTGGAGAGTCGCATTCCTCCAACTGCCTGCGACAATAAAATAGGTGCGGATTTTATGTGTTTGATGCTTCTTCGATCAATGAGCTAGTTCGCCCTGCTATTGGCATCAAATCAGCAAAAAAAAGCTATCAAATTCAAGCTCATATTCCGAATTCGTGTACTGAAAAGTGTGTTGACATGCCTGTTTCTCTTCCTTTGCATTTCTCATGCTTTTGGTACGCAAAGGAACACACTGATACGCACTTTTACTTCTAAAAGTCACCTGCCTTTATTCTTTACCTTAAAGATTTTTCGCGAATTGGTGTATTTTGAGCAAAGGACACCGCGGCTGTAGTGGAGGATTAGATGGTTGCTGAAATTTGCATTTATATCGCCTTTGCAATAAAGTTCTGTTCAATAGATAGTAAAGGATAGTCTTGTTATCACAGTGCATTCAAGATTTCAACGAAGGTTAGCAGCACTATAACACCGGAGCTATCAGCCTACCAACTATAGTAAGGCTAAAGGCGGACGAAGAAGGTCCACATGGAGAAATTCGAGCTTTGATTACGACATACTTCACGCGATAGTCGTATGCGATTTGCCAGTTACAAGATATCTTCAAATGTAACGCCAGCTT